AAGTGGCTGTACCAACTTGCATTCCCACCAACAGTGTAAGAGGGTTCCCCTTTCTCCACAACCTCTCCAACATTTGTTGTTTCTCTCCCTGTCCACTTTTTAAGCCTTTAAATCTATTTCTAATTCACTGAGATACAAAAGATAATCTCAAGTTACTCTTACTAATAACAGGCCCCTATTTTATTTGTTATTGTTTGTTTTGCCAAGAGCAGCAGATTTTGTTTTATAATGTGAGTAATTGACTTGAGATACGTATACGCAGGACTCCTCTTTGTTCATCAGACTATAAGTTAGAAAAGCCTATTAATTTTTGCCAGTTTGCTTCTTGTGCCATTTATATGGTCTTGTATGGCAAATAATATAAAATTTAATTTATTTATTTCTCCTCTAAGATAAGGATTTTTTTGTTGTTTGTGTTAACCTCATGTAAAACCTTAATTCATCTTATTTTGGTCACAATTCTGGAATATATTCTTATGTGTCCCTTTTATTATCATTGTGGCCATAACTAGGTAAAGAAATTTAAATACCTTTTTGAAGAAATGTCAGTTGCTTACTTCAGACTATAAGGACCAATTCTTTACTCGGGGAAAAAGGATAAAGGCCCTGGTATTCAGAAAAAAATGGTAATGATAACATTAGTTTTGTCTGAGAAAAAAAAAATTTAATTCTTTAATCTCTTTGAAGGAGCAGAGTGTTTTAGGTCCTTAAAAAACTAAAAGAAGGTGTCATATGTCAATCTAGATGAGAGTAATTTAATGTATTTTGTGGAAAAACATTTATAGCTAGGAATAAAATAGCTTTTAAGAAATGTAATTTTGGTGGGTATATTTTTATATTTTAAGACTCTTTTATAAAAGGTAATAAAGCATTAATTTCAGACTTCTTCTATTTAAGTAAAATGTTCTCCAAATATTTATGTACTTATTTTCATGTCATATAAGGATGGGTTTGATTTTGAAATGTTAAACATATCTCTAGCCTGTATAATATAATATGTAAAGTAAAATGAATACATTCCTCTGAAGACAAGACACAAGTTAGTCATCAGTGGAAAACAAGATTCAGGTTTATTTAGCAGTTGAGTTGGCTTTGGATTTAGCGACTAATGCCACTCTTTGGTGTATATTTGCTTTGTTTCCCTATTGAACTTGTTGAAAATATGCGTCTTTTTATTGGTCTTTTTTTTTTTTTTTCTGTACCTGATGTTGCCTTACAATACTACCGTTAGGTAGGATATGCTAAAAGGTTTTTAATTGCTAGTTAGCTTGGTCCTTTCCTCAAAAGTGGAAATACCCTTCCTTCAGGGTGGATTCCCACTTAAACTGGAGTGACCTACATGAAGCAGTTTTTGCCTGCTAAAAAGTTGCATATTATAGGTAAATTTAGGAACAATAGAATTGTCAGAAGTAGGATGAAGAAACTAAAGATTAAGATCTTCAGCCCAAGGAAAATGGATGGCTGTACAATTCGTTCTTTTTCTTGTGTTCCATTCCAGTCAAATCAACATTGCTACTGTATCAAAGTCCAACCACAGGTCTCTTTCCCACTAAAACATGTGGTGATGATCAGAAGGCAAAAATCCAGGACAGTCTGTACTGCGCTGCTGGGGCCTGGGCTTTGGCTCTTGCATACAGGTAAGCTGGTGTGTGCTCTTCTAGTACCTTTCAGTCTGGGTAATAGGGTTTTGTTAGCCCAAGACAAATTGGGCGGCTCTCTTTTGGCTCTTCTGCTGATTCACAATGTGATCTGTAGCTGCTCACATCTCTTTTTATGCCTCTAAACATTTAAATTTTCCTAAGGGTTTACACAAGACTAGTTCTAACATTTTATGACTTTGTCACCAAAATTTTTTCATCTCTAGGTATTTAAATCATCATTCATCTTTGGCAGAATGATCTTCCCATTCTCCTTGAGTTGGTTGCTTTCAGTCAGAGGGACTTGAAGGCTGATTGAATTTTGCAGATGATAAAACTGGGGCCCAGGTAGTTAACAGATATATCCAAAGTTACACAACTAGTTAATGATAGAGCAGGGCTAGGGCCCATTCTACCCTACCCCAGTTTAGTGTTTTAGCCCCTACAATTTCACTGAGGTATCACTTGTTAAATCAGGGTGTAAATCAAATAATTATTTTATAAAGTAAAAAAAAAGAAAATCCCTTCAGAATACAAAATATCTTCTTACTTTATTTTGTTATATTTGGAAAACATTCAACGTGTGTCCTGACTCATAGTCTGTGGTAATACCTTTTAACTGTTATTAAGATTAGGTTTCTGAATATTAATTTTCTGAAGGTGAGACATATGCATATACTTCTGATTTGAAAATTATATCTTTCACATGAACATGATTCCTCTGTCTTAAATTATTGATGTGTTGCATTTGTAAAAGGAAATCAAATACTGAGGTAATATGAAGTAATCACCTTTAACACAGTCGTTTGCTTATCTACAAGCATTTCTTTACATATTCTAGGTGAGCACAGTAAAGCTCCAATGAGTGTCAAACTACTACTGGTCTTAAGACAAAAAAAAAAAAGTATAGAGGACAGCAGTAGTACCTTAACCAAGTGGTCAAGCTAGTAATGGAACAGTAGGTGCTTCACTGTGATATAGTGGTAAGTGCACATCATGCATGTTGACTTCTTACCATAATGATAAAACAGATCTACCTGTGAATAAACAATCAGATAATGCCAAATTGTTGCTACTTATAAGACAACTTGCCTGGACTCTAAAAATGTAGCTATCAGAGTAGATTAGAAAATAAATATGAGATGGCAGAGGAGTAGGGGACCCTATTTCAACCGGTCCCCTGAACTAAGCTGGATATCTACCAGACCACTCTGAACACCCACGAAATCAGCCTGAGATGTAAGATGATATATCTGGATCTCTACAAACAGAATATCTCCGGCGGTTGATCTCAAGGTATGGAGCGGGGAGCCATGATTCTGTGGGCAGATTTAGGAAGATAAATGGAAGGGGGAGGGAGCCTCTGTGATCCTGCTCTGTGGGAGCGCAAAAGCGTCCCGTACTGGGGACCAGGCACAGACTCGCAGACCAGTAGCGGCAGGGAAAGGACTTTAGGGCAGTCCCCCAGACTCAAACCTGGAGCTGCGGGGTGTGTGTGTGAAGTGGGGGCGGCTTGCAGTTTTATAGCACAAAGGACAGAGACGTGCCTGGACCTGGCACCAGAAGCACTGCTGTGGGACGCACAACCCAGTAGGCTGCGGTTTTAGCTGCACAGACAGAAACGGAGACAGTGTGGCCTGGAGAGCTCAGTGGAGAGCAGACTGTGATCTCTCTGTTCTGAGAGAGAGGTTTGGTTACAATCACTTCTGCTCTTGACACTTGGAAGAGATGCGGAAAACCGCCGGGGAAAGCCCCAAGAGAACAAAAGCTCCCCAAAACCGGTTCTCACTGAGCGCATCCCTCAGGGCAACTCTCCCCAAGCAGGGCTTTCTGAGTAACAGTGCAGCAGGCCCCTTCCCCAGAAGACAGGGTGGAAGAACAAGAGGCCGAGAACCCTAAGGTCCCTATAAAACAGGTGCATCTTGCTTGGGTTGTGGTCAGTAATTTGGACTCTACATTCCCTCAACCACCCTCAACAGAATGACTAAGAGGGGGAACCCCCAACATAGGAAAGATTCAGAGACTGTGACCTCTGACACAGAACTAATGGATATGTATATAAGCAAGATGTTGGAAATAGACTCCAGGGTAACAGTTATGAAGACAAGAGCTAGGATGGAGAAAACCATTAATGGCAAAATAGATTCTCTAAGGGCAGAAATGAAAGCTAATCAGGCAGAACTTAAAAATCCTAACAATGAGATCCAATCTAATCTAGATACTCTAAGAGCTAGGGTAAACGAGGCAGAAGAATGAATTAGTGATCTAGAAGACAAACTGATAGAAAAGAAGGAACAGGAGGAGGCCTGGAACAAACAGCTGAAAAGAGAATTAGAGAAATAAATGACAGCATGAAATGTTCCAGTGTCAGAATTATTAGGATCCTTGAGGGGGTGGAGAGAGAGAGAGGACTAGAAGATATATTTGAGCAAATCGTAGCTGAGAACTTCCCTAATCTGGGGAATGAAACAAGCATTCATGTCCTAGAGGCAGAGAGGACCCCTCTCAAGATCAAGGAAAACAGACCAATGCCCCAGTGTGTAGTAGTAAAACTCGCAAATCTCAGAACCAAGGAAACCATCTTAAGGGCAGTTAGGGGGAAGAGATTCCTTATGTAGTGGAAGGAACATCAGAATAATGTCAGACCAGTCCACAGAGACCTGGCAAGCCAGAAAGGGCTGGCAAGACATATTCAGGGTACTAAATGAGAAGAACATGCAGCCAATAATACTTTATCTGGCAAGGCTGTCATTCAGAATGGATGGAGAGATACAGAGCTTCCAGGATTGGCAGAAACTGAAAGAATATGTGGCCACTGAGCAGGCCCTCCAAGAAATATTAAGGGGGGTTCTATAAAAGGGGAAAGACCCCAAGAGTGATATAGAACAAAAATTTACAGAGACGATCTGTAGAAGCAAGGATTTCACAGGCAACATTATGACAATAAAATCATATCTTTCAATAATCACTCTCAATGCAAATGGCCTAAATGCTCCCATAAAACGGCACAAGGTTGCAGATTGGATAAAAAGACAGGACTCATCCATACGCTGTCTACAAGAGGCTCATTTTGAACCTAAAGATACATCCAGACTGAAAGTGAAGGGATGGAGATCCATCTTCCATGCCAGCGGACCTCAAAAGAAAGCTGGGGTAGCAATTCTTATATCAGACAAATTAGATTTTAAACTAAAGTCTGTAATTAGAGACACAGAAGGACACCATATCATTCTTAATGGGTCTATCCAACAAGAAGATCTAACAATATCTATGCCCCCAACATGGGAGCAGCCATCTACATAAGCCAACTGTTAACCAAAATAAAGAGTCACATTGATAATAATACGTTAATTGTATGAGACCTCAATACTCCACTCTCAGCAACAGACAGATCATCTAAGCAGAAAATCAACAAAGAAACAAGAGCTTTGAATGACACATTGGACCAGATGGACCTCATAGATATATATATAGAAAAATCCACCCTAAAACAACAGAATACTCATTCTTCTCGAGTGCACATGGAACTTTCTCCAGAACAGACCAATACTGGGTCACAATTCAGGCCTCAGCTGATATCAAAAGATTGAGATTATTCCCTGCATATTCTTAGACCACAATGCTTTGAAACTGGAACTCAATCACAAGAAAAAGATAGGAAGACATTCAGATACTTGGAAGCTAAAGATCATCCTGCTCAAGAATGTTTGGATCAACTAGGAAATCAAGGAAGAACTTAAACAATTCGTGGAAACCAATGAGAACGAAAACACATCGGTCCAAAACCTATGGGATATGGCAAAGGCAGTCCTAAGGGGGAAATACATAGCCATCCAAGCCTCACTGAAAAAAATAGAAAAATACCGAATACACAAACTATCTTTACGTCTTAAAGAATGGGGAATGAACAACAAATTAAGCCTAACTCATCCATGAGAAGGGAGATAATCAAGATTAGAGCAGAGATCAATGAATTAGAAACCACAAATACAATAGAACACATCAATGAAACTAGAAGTTGTTCTTTGAAAGAATTAGTAAGATTGATAAACCATTGGCCAGACTTATCCAAAAGAAAAGAGAAAGGACCCAAATTAATAAAATTATGAATGAAATGGGAGAGATCACAACTAACACCAAGGAAATAGAAATAATTATTAGAAATTATTATCAACAACTATATGCTCATAAATTAAGCAACCTGAAAGAAATGGGTGCCTTCCTAGAAACCTATAAACTACCAAGACTGAAACAGGAAGAAATTGACAACCTGAATAGACCAATAACCAGTAACGAGATTGAAGCAGTGATCAAAAACCTACCAAAAACAAGAGTCCAGGACCTGATGTATTCCCTGGTAATTCTAACAACATTCAAAGAAGAAATAATACCTATTCTCCTGAAGTTATTTCAAAAAATAGAAACAGAAGGAAAAAGCCCAGACTCATTCTATGAGGCCAGCATTACCTTGATCCCCAAACCAGGCAAAGACCCCTTCAAAAAGGAGAATTTCAGACCCATATCCTTGATGAATATGGATGCCAAAATTCTCAGCAAGATCAAAGCTAATAGGAGCCAGCAGTACATTAAAAGGATTATCCACCACAACCAGGTGGAATTTATCCCTGGGATGCAAGGGTGGTTCAACATTTGCAAATCAATCGATGTGCTAGAACACTTTAATAAGAAGAGAGAGAAGAACCATATGGTCCTCTCGATGCAGAAGAAGCATTTGACAGAATACAGCATCCTTTCCTTATTAAAACTCTTCAGAGTGTAGGGATAGAGGGAACATAACTCAATATCATAAAAGCCATCTATGAAAAGCCCACAGCAAATATCATTTTCAACAGTGAAACACTGAGAGTCTTTCCCTTAAGATTAGGAACACGTCAAGGATGCCCACTCTCACCACTGTTGTTCAACATAGTACTAGAAGTCCTAGCAACATCAACCAGACAACAAAAAGAAATAAAAGGTATTCATATTGGCAAAGAAGA